ATGGAAGTTGCAGATTTTTGAACAGAATCACCACCTCCGTAAGTGATGGAGCTCAGTGAAATGTTGTTCTTTTCATCTCTTAACCAATATACCCCTGTGAAAAGATGAGATTCAAATGTCATTCAACTGGCCAAATTTCAAAAGTCATTGTGATGGTTAATTCTGGGTGTCACATTGACTGGCTTGAGGAATTTCTGGATGGCTGGTGAATCATTGTTCCTGGGTGTGCCTATAAGAGTGTTGACAGACAAGATTGGCATGTGAGTTAGTGGACTGAGTGAGAAAGAGCTGCCGTCAGTGTAGGTGTGCACCATTTTATCAGGGTGTAAAACAGATTGGAGGGGCCGACTGGCATCAAGAGGTGAACAAGCTGTTCTAATAATCCAGAGGTGAACTGATATACTTGCTCTAGCCTTTGGAAAATAGGAGAGGGCAGCGATTCTAGATTTCCTGTGTTAGGAGTGATTTGGGGGAGGTAAGGGCTCAATAAAGGCTCCCAGGCTCCTAATGAAAGCAGATGTGATGTGATGATAAAACCATTAATGCTGGTAGAGAAAGTTGGAGGAGTAATCAATGTGAAGGAGACCACTATAACTGAAATTAGAGAAGAGGCTCTTTCAAGAAGAGGCTTGGTAGGGCCAGCATGTGGTTTGGCAGTAGGGAGCTGGACTGACCACGATTTGAGTCCCAGACCTGGTGGCTTGTTTTCTTACTTCTCTCTGTCTGTCTCTGGTGAGTGCATGGGTCCTATAGCAAATTAAAAGAAAATAATAACAAATAAAATTAAAATAATTATGAAAAAAAAAAACCTCTGCTCTGCTTTAGAAAAAGAATTCAAATACTGCAGAGGAAAGTGAGTCAATCACAGGCTATACCAGCATTATTTTGGCTTGCCCATCAGTGGATCATCATTGGTGACCTTTGACAGAACAGTTTTGGGGCTGATTTGCGCTGATGGGGGTTGAGGAGTTTAAAGGGAAGTGCAGACGATGAGCGTAGGCCATTAAAAGGTACTTTGCTGAATGAGAAAGTTTAAAATGAGATGATTTTTGACACTGATTTAAGATAAAAAGTAACTTGAGTTACTGAGTGGAATAAACAGTACTCTTTTGTTGACCGAAAGAAGGCAAAGATACAACAGACTGAAGAATAATGAGCTGACATACTTGAGGACAGAACCAAACCCAGAGCATAGGGGTTAAGTATATTGAGCATGCGTGGTGAGTCACGTATTTTTTCAGACTCCATGTAAGGATGGCATATGGAGTTATAAAATTGCGAGAGAATTATTGAAAAAGAGGTGTTCTATCAGAGTTGCGAGAATAGTAAAGTGCTGTAGTTTTCTGTCAAATATAAGACAAAAGAAAAGAAGTATATGCAAATATAAGAGAAAAGAAAAAGTATCAGCTGTATTTTAATGACAGATTTGATGTGATACAAACTGGATAATTTCTCTCAGGGACTGGGAACAAGAAGAAAAAGAAAAAAAACACAGAAGAGTTAGATGGATACAAATGATCATGTTACAGGCAGGTGTAGAGAAAAGTCAGGGTTCAAGAGGCTGAGCATGTCAATTGGAAGGAAGTTGAAGAGTTGGCGCATATCTCTCAGGGTCTGGGAACAAGAAGAAAAAAAAACACAGAAGAGTTAGATGGATACAAATGATCATGTTACAGGCAGGTGTAGAGAAAAGTCAGGGTTCAAGAGGCTGAGCATGTCAATTGGAAGGAAGTTGAAGAGTTGGCGCATATATTTCATCCTGACAAAACAAACGTTTAGGAGTCCCAAGAGACGAAAGTGCAGGACATAAAGGGAAGGGGCTGAAAAGCAGAAATGAAATTGTTTTATCAATTATCAAGTTTCTGGTCAGATTCCAGGGTGTATCGATGGGAGCCAGTTGCTGAAGCAGAAAAGAAAAACTATCCTAGAGCTTTGGCGTGTTGTTTACATACTTGCGATAGAAAACTGAGAACAAAGAATTAAGATTTTCTGCAGTTTTCACCTGAAAAAGCTGAAATCTTTAAAAGTCAAAATGGCCATAGACTATCATACATATTAAAAAACTGAACATCTTAATCATTTAACCAAAAAAGATTAGCCGAAAACTTCAGAAATGGAAGCCTTTGTCTATAACTGTGTAACAGGGCATATTGTAGGTGGACTTCGGGCTTGGTGCTGTTTGGTAAATACCTGTGTCATCACAATAAACCTTATTTATCTTATCTATGAAATGAAAAATAGTGCACATCTCATGAACTTGCTATGAGAATTAACATGATAGTAAAGGTAATAATGTTAGCATATAGCTGAGCACATAGTAAGCCCTCTGAATTAATGCTTCCTCTTATTATAATCCATTACTTTCTGCTGCTAGCAAATGTATTGTTAGTGACCTATACATTATAGTTTTGATCATATATTCATTTCACTGGTGTAACAAATTGCCACAGACTTATTGATTTTAAAGCAACACAAATTTATTCTATTACGGTTGTGAAGGTCAGAAGTCCAAAATCAATTGTACTGGCTAAAGTCAAGGCATGATCATGGGGCTGATTTCTTGAGTCCTTGCCTTTGCTGGCTTCTAGAGACTCTCTGTATCCTTGTTCTATGGTTCCTTCCTCTGTCTTCAAAGCCAGCAGTGCAGTGTTGTCACATTCTGTTACAACATCTTCTTGGACTCCTGCTTCCCTCTCTCTTCCTTTTTTGAAATATGTGAGGGAAAGAACTTTTATAAAACAATTACTCCTTTATTTAATTTTATTTTTTATTATTATTTTTTAAATTTGGCCAAAGAGACAGAGACAGGTAGAGGGAAAGGGAAACTGAGCAAGCAAGCTGCCAGGTCTAGGACTCAAACCATGGTTGGCCATGTGAGAGTCCAACACCTTAACCACCATACCACCTGCTGGCTCCTCCTGCTTCCCTTTTATAGGGGCTCTTGTGATTATTTGGGGCCTACCTAGATAATCCCCTCCCAAAATCCTTGGTGTACTTACTCGGCAAAATTATTTTATGGCATTTTTTTTGTTATGAAAGTGAACATGCTCAAAAATGTCAGGAATTAAGACAGTGACCTCTTTTGGCAGAGAAAGAGAGGGTCATTACTCAATTTACCACAGTAGAGACCTTAATGTAGATATGAATATAAGATAATTGAAAACGAATCAGGCATCAAATTCCAGATTCTTCTATTCTCAATATCATCAATAACAAGCACATCACGCATTTCTAAATTAAAAGAAAATACATGATGGATGTGGGAAATCCTCTCCCCATCCTTACCATTATTATTATTATTACTGAAGGTTTTTGTCATAGGATTTGTGTGCTCACAGGGGCGGGGAGGGGGAACAGTGAGAGGGAAAGGCAGAAATCAGCCCCCCACCCTGGAGGGCAGGGGTGGGGATGGGCACAGTGCAATTCCTTCTTCTCCTGGGGCGTTGGGCATGCCCACACACGCCCACACACGTGCTCAGCTGATGTTCAAGCCCAGGAATCTGGGACTTGACCCATGATCGGCCATATTGGAGTCCAGCACCTTAACCACTACATTACCTGCTGGCTCCCTATGATTTTTTTAAAACCAACTTTACTTTCCAATTAATAACAAACAAAATCCTTAGTTGCTCTTTCTGTGCCCTGTGAAACAGTATCTATACTTTTCTCTCCATTCCTCGCACACAAAGCAGCCCTGTGATTTCCTATTGGCATCACCATATCAAATCTGCTGCTCCCCCATTCAGAAAATTAAGTACTCTAGAATACTAAAAAGAAAGGAAGCCAGTGTTCAAAACCAATTACAAGTATCGACTAACAAAAATTCAGTACAAATAGCATCAAAGTAGAAATAAAAGTGAGCCGGTTGAGTTCCCATTTGATTTTTTTAATGGTGTCGAGAAAGGAGTTGAACCCCACTTACAGGGAGATAGAGCAGCCACCACTCCCCCAGCAGGAGAGCCTCTGCGGTGAGATTCCTAACAATCCTGTTCTCCCACTCACATATTCCTTTGACCTCAGACCTGTAAATCCTATTCGTGGATAATTCACGGCCCAAAGCTTCTAGACAAAAAAAATCTCCTGACCTTGTACCCACTCCAATATTAGGAGAATAGGGGGCTGTCAGGTGGGATGGTGGTTAAGGCACTGGACTCCCACATGGCTCATTGTGGTTTAAGTCCTGCACCTGGTGGCTGGTTTTCTCACTTTCTCTTCCTCTACTGTCTCTCTCTGGTCAAGTTGAAAATAAATAAATAATAACAACAAATTAACAAAATAAATAATTTATGTTAAAACAAATAAACAAACACAAATTAGGAGAATAATTGGATCCATATGCCCTTCCCCACCAGGAGGGAATGCATGACAAGCCCCATCTAGAACAAGTATAGACAAAGCCCTGACCAAAATAAAACCCCCCACCTCAGCTCTTCTTTGGCAACCCATTTTTTGCGACCCCCTCCCTTTTTCCTTGGGAGCTCTGTTTTTTTTTCCATCTCTTTCAGTAAACTTCCCCTTTACTCTATTCATTCTCTGTGTCCCAGTCTTTCCGTCCGTGGGATAAGAACCCGTGTCTCACTGCCCGTGTGGACCTGATCACCAGGTCAATGTCTCTGGGCTCCTGAAAGTGCCAAACGTAATTCACACTGAATAGTCATCATCGCTAATCATGGAAACCTCCAAGTTCACATACTCTCTGCTACTGTTCTCTTTCTGCAAACCGCGAGACCCCCCTGTCGTTGCGGAATTTCAGATTCCACAGTGTCACATTTCATCATCTACTTTAAAATTCGACTTCTTTTTTATTGTATCTTGTTTAGATGCGCCAAACTTGTCTGCCTCAATTCTCTCTATACGTATGCCCCAATTCCAAAGTCCATTTTATTGTGTGTTTTTGTTTTGTTTTGTTTTTCCCCTCTTACCCGATTGAACAGAAGGAGGCTCAAACTCTCCTTCCCAAACCTTGCCTCACTGTTTCTGAAGGGAAACTGAAACCTAAATGATGTTTAGAGAGAAAGGAAACTGAAACGACTTCTCCAGACATAAAAGGCTGGCTGTGGTGCCTCAGAGTCCCCAGTCCGACACCCGAGTTCCCCGGAGCTTGGGCTCTGGGCTCCGCCTTGGGTCTTCCTCCATCCGCTCCCTGCCAGGCGCTCAGCTCAGGCTGATCCGACGGAGCAGGTCGGGGTCCCTGCGTTGGGTTGCAGAGTGAGGAGCAGCAGGTTGCGGGATGTCTCTAGGGAGGGCACCTGGAGGTAGCTATCCTGCGGGAGTGCTAGGGCTCGGGACAGGCTCCAGCCTCTGGTGACGCAACAGCTGCGCTCTCAACGGCTGGGGCCGGGCCACTGCTGGTTCCGGGGGGGCGGGGCACCAGGCTTTTGCAAAGGCAGAGAAAAGCTATGATCTGCTGAGTGCAGACGTCTGAGCCCTGGAGAGAGAGAGGAGAGAGTTCAGTATTTAAGGAGTCTCCTTCAAAAGTGGAGGCTAGGGCATCTGGACTATTGAAAAAACTGAGGGACTTTGAATCTGAGCACAGCCAAGAACACCTGCACATTGACAGCAGCAAGCATTTTCCTCCATGCAGTTTTTGGGGCTTTACTCTAGACCAGCAGAATCAGAATCTGCATTTTAATCAAATGATTGCTTTGCATCTTTAAGTTTCAGTGGTTTAAGTATATAGAAACTGACTTTCAGAGCAGTGAAAAGGAATATATTCCTAACTGAGGAGCAGGCATTAGATCATTATTGCTGTTAACAAATGATCACTGACTTAGTGGCTTAACACAGTACCAATTTATCCGTTTAGTCTGTGGATCAGAAGTTCAGGTTTACTGAGTTCTCTGTTCAGCATTTCGCCAGGCCGAAATTTCAGTGTCTGTTGGGGCTACCTTCTGGGAAGGTTTGGGGTGCTCTTTCATATTTGGGGAAGCATTCAGTTCCTTCTTCCTGGAGCTGGAGCACTGAGGTTCCTTGTTTTCTTGTTTGTTTTTGGCTGGTGTTTACTTTCAGTCTTTCCATTCCACCCTCTGGGGGTTTACTCTCAGCCTTTCCATTCCACCCTCTGGTGTTAGCCCTGGGGCTCTCTTGCAATAATGGTGGTTTATGCTTTCAAAGCCAATAGGAGAATCTCTCCCCTTTCTACTGCGATGGGGTCTCCCAGAAGTAACCTAATCATGTGAGAGACAGTCTCATTATATTCAAGGGACAGTGATCACGTAGGGCACATATATCAGGAGAGGGAGAGTCTTGAATACCATCTTCACAGCACTGGTCAGGTCTGGGGTGGGCGGCGTGTGGTTTTAGGACTCCACACCTTCCCTTAAGTGACTTCACATTTCGCTTCAATACATAATCCATGCTTTCCCATTTCCTC